TTGCACTGAGTAAATACAGCTGGATAAAACAAAAACTGTGTCCATCTTCATTTCAGGCTGCAAAGCAACAATTGTGATTATTTTAAAGGGGGCACTTCTTTTCTATACCCACTTGATTAGGTTAAAAATAACAAAAAAATTCAGATAACTAACACAATAAAACAATAAAAACATGATACCATAATAAAAAACAGAATTTTTGAAAATTAAAAATTGCAAATAAACTCTTCATATACACACACACACACACACACACACACATATATATATATATATATATATTTATTTCATTAAATGCAAATGAGTGTTCAGGGAATTCTTATAGGATTGTCCATTTTAAAATAACAACATAGAAGTTTGGAAAAACGGGGATGGAATGAATGAATGATTTTTGGGTTAACAATAAGAGAGAACAAATTCATGTTTTCATATTACATGAGTTCAGCAAGATTCAAGCTCTGTTCCAAACTCAAAACGAATGATTCATCTTATCTGAGTCTAGATGTAATCAGTGTGGTCCTGAATCAGGGTTTGCAAACAGTTTACAGATTATCACCCGACTGCCAGCTGAGATACGTCAGCTATCTGAAGTTCACTGAACCCTCTTTGTGCAGTAATGAGGATCCATTAGCATGTAACTCGACACTGTTCCTCGATCAGAGGCAGCAGATGCTGATGTCTTTACACGGCTATTAGCGAGAGGCGTAATCTGCACTCTCAACATTAAATGAAATTAAGAAGAGCTGAAAACTGCACAACTTGCAGACAGAGAAGTTTCTTAAAAACAACATATGTTGTGTTTTAGACGTTGGTCCTCAACCGGCTTCATAACTAGCTATCCAGTATGACTTCCTTGGTCAACCAGTCTGTCCTCTCACAGACAATGCTGGTTGACCAGCTTCACCAACTGGTGAACAGCATGGCTATCATGGTCAACTAGCTAGATCAGCACCAATCCAGCATGGGCCAGTATGGAAATTTCTGTTGAGCAGTGCTAAAATACAATCTCACTGTTTTTATTTACTTTTAAATTTAAATTTCATTTTGAAGAGAACGTCAGATACAAGGGGTTCACGATTAATCGCGCATTTTGTTAGTAAAGCCGGTTCTGTAATCAGCAGGAAATCATCATAACGTGCTTTCAGATGGAGCAGAATTTACTACACATAGCGCCAACTAGTGGCCGATTTCTTTCAAAATTCTTACAGACCTTTAAGGCCCTGTGTTGAACATGCCCACCGAGTTTCGTTCCGATTATTTTTTTATTTGACCAAAGATTAAGCTCCTACATACGTGTACCGAGTTTGGTGAAGATATCTCATTCTGTTCAAGAGTTATACTTCAAATTAACATTTGGCTAACATTAGCATAGAGACTTCTTGGTATACGCCTGACAATCGCAGCTTCTGTCGAATCGCGATCTCGATTCCATTTCGATTTATTGTGCAGCCCAATCAGATACCACAAGAACGAAATTTTAAGCAACCCCAAAATGCAGCACGACAAGCTTAGCAAAACTATTTGCCATGATGGTGAATGTGGTCAAGGGTAAATTTAAAATAAATAAATAAATTAATTAATTAATAGACAAACAAATAAAATAAAAATTACAATAAATATGTATGAAAAATTTATGAAATATAATTATTTAAAGTAATATTTATTCAGTAGTGGAAAGTAGCAATTGAAAATAGTTTTATGTAAATAATAAATTAATTAATAAAGAACAAAAAAGGAGGAAATGAGCAGTTGGTCCCTTTGAGGATTTATTTCAACCTGATATGACCAATATTAAACACTTTTGTTGACATAACCCAATTTAGTCACATTGATTTAAACATATTAAATTATATATTAGACTTTAATTAAAACTCATTTTCAAGTTACCTGATTAAACATTTTCACAGCATATCAGAGTAATGCTAAAATTACCAAAACCACTAGGTAACCAATGACTCTCGCTACCATTACTAAATTTAAATATGAACCAGAGCAATCAGTTCATCTCTTTCCACTGACGGTAAATAAAATAAAAAAATCCCCATCTGTACACAGGAATGCATTTGCCACTTTCTAAGTTTTGACCTCCCCCTGTTGGAGAAGTGTATACTGGAGCACGTCTCTCAGGACTGGGGTCAGGAGGTGAGGAACTCCTTAAAGAACCAACCAAAGAGCAAAGACAAGGAGACTCCTCCTTTAAAAGACCAAAGGAAAGGTGACGAGAGCCAGACAGATGCCCTATCTGAGTTCATCTTGATGAAGTACCCAGATCGCATGAATCAAAAGCCTTGAAGCTGGTGGCATCTTTTCTTATCTTTTAAACCCCCTGAATTGGGGTTTTAGTGATATCTAAAGGCAAATGTTGTTGCTGTCCAATGTTTTCCTCTCTGTTTAAATGAGCATGAATGTGGTTTTGCTTGAGCACATATAAATTCTAAACACATCTGAGGTAGGCTGTCAAACATTGTTCGAGTGTTTAAAAGCATATGCATGTACAGTACTAAAATATCAGGTGAATTTGGTTAGAGCTGCAGTCTAGTTATCAACATCAACTCAAGGTTGGGTGGATGAATCATCAGAACCACAAAGAAAGTTCTCCATGTGGTTCATTCTTAGAATCCTTCAGAGCGTTTCACTTCAGAGAATCTACATTGAGGTCAGACATTATTTTAACATCAATAAAATAAATTAATCAATATTATGTCAACAATACACAGGTGAAACTCATATTCACATATCACGATCATGACAAAAATAAGAAATTACATTTTGAATAAAGATATTTAAAAACCATTAAGGTTGTTATTTATGGTTACAGAACTGGTGCAGGATAACTGTCAGAAAAATATATTTTTTTGTCTCTTTTTCTTGACAAGTTTCAGATCAAGGTAAACCCTAATAAGGCTGCTATGCAGTTCCTATTGTTTTTTGGGTGGTTGCTAAGGTTTTCTGATGACTTGAAACATGTTGCTATGCAGTTTAGTTGCTAGGGTGCTTTAAATGGTTGCTAGGTGGTTGCTAAGGTATTATGAGCGATTTAAGAATGTTGCTGTGCAGTTTAGTTACTAGGGTGTTTTGAATGGTTGCTGGGTGGTTGCTAAGGTATTATGAGTGATTTAAGAATGTTGCTCTGCAGTTGCTATGATGATTTCAGTGGTTGCTAGGTGGTTGCTAAGGTGTTATGTGTGATTTTAAGCATGTTTCTGTGCCACAAATGAATTTTATGTCAACAATACATAGGTGAAACTCACATTAACATCAAGAAATTATAGATAGAAATTACATAAAGATAAGAAATTATATTTTGCATAAATAAAGAAAATTTAAAGACCATTAATATTATAAGAATGACAGTTAAGCACATTTTCACCCAAATTATCTTTATTTATTTATTATTATTTTTTGTACTTTATATATATATATAAATAATAAAAAAAAAAAATATATATATATATATATATATATTTAAATTTAAACAATTATGTACAATTTGTTTCAGCATTATGGTTACCAGAATTTGTGCAAGTTAATTGTCACAAAAAAACTAATAAGTTACATCAATATTTAAAGTCCAAGATTAATACTGTAGAAGTTTAAATCTTTATTTTACTTCATAAGCATGTTAATTGCACTTAACTTGAAATTCTGAGTAAACAATTTAACTGTTTCCTCCCTCATGTGGTCCTTTTGTCCAGTCTATAAATACACAAGTAAAATCTATAGGAGAGATGTGATGAGAGCGTCTCAGTAAACAAGTTATGAAACAGTGCCAACATGCGTCTAATATACCCGTCTCAAAATAACACGTTGTGGTTCAGACGTCATCACTACAGAGGGAGGATCTGAGACACTATCAATCTTTGTGTGCACGCATGGTTTGGCCAATGACGCTGAATAACATTTACATCCCCAGATCTTAGCTTGTGTCACATTAAGTGTGCTTGAGCTGATGAACTGTCACCTTGTTCCCTGCGGAGAGAAGCTCCTGTCTAAACACAATCCTGTTACCGCAGCTCATCTGGACAAATGTTTGTCTGTGTCCCTCTTGGATGTCATTTCTCTTAGCACTGTTGAGATAAACAGGAGAGAGTGAGAGTGATGGAGACAGAAGGGAAAGTCAAGCATGAGCGCTTCAGGAGTGACCCTTTAACGAAGCAGCTCTGATCACCACCACAGACGCTGTGAACACAATGACACACTGCACATTTACTGCATACACATGCAAAACTCACCAACATATGGAAGCCTGTTTCCGCCACTGAGTAAAAAATTTTTCAGCTCATCTGGACAAATGTTTGTCTGTGTCCCTCTTGGATGTCATTTCTCTTAGCACTGTTGAGATAAACAGGAGAGAGTGAGAGTGATGGAGACAGAAGGGAAAGTCAAGCATGAGCGCTTCAGGAGTGACCCTTTAACGAAGCAGCTCTGATCACCATCACAGATGCTGTGAACACAATGACACACTGCACATTTACTGCATACACATGCAAAACTCACCAACATAAGGAAGCCTGTTTCCGCCACTGGGTAAAAAATTTTAAAAAAGTAATTGCGACTTTTTATCTCACAATTCTGACTTTTTTCTGGCAATTGCGAGTTTACATCTCACAATTCAGATTTTTTTTCTCACAACTGCAAGTTATAAAATCGCAGTTGGGTGTAATAAATTCAGAATTGCATGATATAAACTCGCAATTCTGAGATAGAAACTCTGACTTTATATTTTAATTATAATTTATAATTTCGAGTTATAAAGTCAGAATTGTGAGATATAAACTCGCAATCTTTTTAACAGAATTGGACTTTATTGAATTTTCGCAATTGTGAGTTTATGTCTCACAATTTTAAGAAAAGAAGTCAGAATCGCAAGATATAAACTCACAACTGCGATAAAAAAGTCAGAATTGCGAGATAAAAAGTCGCAATTACCTTTTAAATTTTTTTCTTCAGAGGTAGAAACTTCAAAATGGTTTTCAAACATTTTATTGTCTTATTGTCAACGAGTTTCATATCAAAACTAAATTCAATGGTTAAACGGCTTGCTAATAATAATACCCTAGATATAAGCAAAGACATAAATTTACTATGACAAACACCATTAAACTCCCAAAACACTCCAAAATATATAAATGAAAATACCTGAAAATTATTTTAAAACTTCCTACCTGAACTCCAAGACCCTCGTCATGGTAACCGCACTGGAAACTTCCTCTCAGGCCTGTAGTTCAGTGGTGAGGCACTGAGAGCGGCCCACAATGGCAACACAAATAAACATCTCTGCGTAAAAGTGTGCGATTTCCTTTTAGCGTAGGCTTTTGCTGTAATAAGTAGACCTTTTGTTGTTTGTTGCGTAGGCTCTCTGTCATAAACCACAGACCGATGCTCTATTTACATTCATGCCTTCAGATGGCTTTTTCTTGCCAAAACTGTGCAGAAGGACAAATTGAGCTCCTGAAAGAAATATGGAGACCATGTTATGAGTATGTACACATACTTTTTGTTCTTCTGTAAAATGCAGTATGATCAAAGGATGGTTGTAATGAGTCTTATCTTCACACCAAATGCCATTTTTAGAGAGGGCTGCCATTTCTGTCTCATGCTTTACAACAGCTACGTGTGAATGAAGAGAGAGATGCAGCAGAGATGAAAGAGAGTTTCTGTGAATTGTGAAAACCCGTGAGGGGTCTTAGGTAGGGTATGTGCATTAAATATGGCAGAAAAAAAAATGTCTCCGCTAAAGAATTTCCCCCATTTAAACTGCCAATCATTCTGTAACTTTCTCACACAACTTTTAAAAGTGATCCACAGCATTTCTGCCACTACAAGTGGTAAAACACTGTGCTTTTACAGTGACTAATGCCGTAATGGGTAACCCACATATACTTTACCCGTCGAGCAGAGGAGGACGGGTGTCCTTTTTCGAGCCATTGTTCCTCCTACGGTTTCTTCATAACCCTGTGTTTTCCCTGACATCTGTAGAGGCCACTTCACAGCAAAAATGAAACAAAAGGTTAAAAAGACAAGTGTGAAAATGCCATCCAGTCAATCACAACATATTAAATGCAAGACAAAACCCATCTTATTATACAAATTTCACTCACTTTAATGCAAAATATGTCCCATATAGAAAAACAGCATTTTATTCGGACTTTAAGCACGCATTTAGACTTGAGAGTTACATTAACATATACTTTAAAATTTTAGCACAACATTAAAATTACATTTTGTTTCTAATACTTTTTGTCTGGTAAAATGGCTTTATTTTGAGTTTCCTGCTGTGTTGCACATCTACAGGTAAAACTGATGAGTCTGTCCAACAGCTCTTTGCATACAGCTGATAAACAGTGTTGATCTATGCCAGAGAGAGGTCACATATAGCAAAACAAAATTCATCCAGAATTAACGTGTAACCGCAGAAGCCACATAAAAACAGGAAGTACTCTCTTTGCTGACAGGAAGTGGGTGAAAAACACACGTATAAACACAAGCCAATGTTGTGCTGCATATGTATGGCTGCGTGTGTGAAAACTAGTTTTGCTGCATTCAACTTGTAAGATTAGAACTGTTTCACACTACTTGTGTTGCGAACTAAATCTGAGAAGCTTTGAGCTACATCCCACATCCTGATACACCTCTCCCTGCAGCGTTATATGCTGCTGAGCACAGTAATTTTACACACTTTGTTCAGTATTACATTACAGTAAGTACACATCAATGAGTAGCGATTTAACCTTCATCAGGCCATTCATCTTTAGACCATAACTCATCTTGAGAAGAGGTGTGCTGATACTTTTCTAAGTACTCAAACTTATGATTTCATCTTGTAGTTGCTAAAACTGTAAAAATAAAAATTTTAAAAAAGCCTATCAACCACTAAGAAGACATTAGCAACTGCATAGCAGCAGCCTGTCCACCCAAAACACCCTAGTAACTGTATTCTAACATCCTAGCAAACACTCGGACCACCCAAGTAGCTGCATAGCAACACCTTGGCAACCATCCAGAACACTCTGGCAACTGCATAGAAACGACCTGGCAACTGAGCAAAGACACCCTAGAACACCATACGATTGTGGCATGGGCAAACCTTATCACTCACGTTTAAATATATATATTTTTTTTTCAGAACATGTAACAATCTATTTGGAAATGTTACACACAAGAGGACAATACAGTTACAAAAGAAAACCGAAACATATAAACAGTCCAAACTTCAATATGATGTTGTATGATTACCAATCCAATCTGTAAACTCAATATATTCATTTATTTATGCTACAGCTCCATCAAGACTCCATCATCATCATGAAAGTAGGTCAGTTGATTCTCCTCTGCCAACACAACTGTCACTGGGTCCTTGCTGCTCCTTGTTTAAACAGAAGGGAGATTTTCAATGCGCTTTGGTTTGTCCATTATGTTTACACTTTGAGTCATATTAGTCACGGTTCTTTTCAACTTTATTAGTCACTATGGCAAAGGCATATGACTAGCGCTCAAGCGTTACAAGATACAAGGATCCTGTTGTGACCTCCCATTAGCCGGCTGTTGAGTGGAAGGGCTCCTCTCTCGGGGACTTCACTTTACCTGTGGCACAGAGATCTCTGTTATTACTGAACGTCAACGCCTTAGCATTGGATATCTTGACCTATTGTGTATTACAGTCCTTAGGTGCAAGAAATAACTATGACCTCTTATTGCTCTATTGTTGCTCACATTGTGTGGCTGAACCTTTGCTATTTACCTTTTCTAATGATATTTTACTACCCTGTGCTGTTGTTCTCAGAACAATGAGTCATCTACCTTCCAGATGCTTGTTGTTTTCGGTTGTCCATCTTATTTTAGCATCTTGTTTATGACGTATTGTAAATGAATTTGTCATATATCGCTCTCTATACTTACATGATAGTGTTACAGATGCCTCTGGCCAGTGGAGATACAGATAACTAAAAACCTTTGTCCTTAACTGAATCTTTAAAGGAACAGTCATACAAAAATTAAACCAAAATGTACCAATTTACTCACTCTTGTGTCATTCTAAATGACTTTCTTTCTTCTGCAGATAACGAAGCAAGCCATTTTAAAGAATGATTAAAGTATTGCTGCCCATTCAACAAAAACAAGACATTTTAACATAAAAATTCAAGTTGGTTTATCAAGACAGGTTTGATGACACAACTAGTTCCCCTAAACACATCTGTTTGAATATGTAAAAGACCAAAAATAGGATTTGAAGGGGTAGATCATCAGTGAATAAAGACTAAAATAGTAACACTTTACAATACAGTTTTATATGTTAAAACATGAACTGACAATGAACAATAGATAGAGATGGTTAGATGGACAGATGGATAGATAATTGAATAATTTATATATTAATTGTTTTTAACATTAAAGGTGGATTGTGAATGAACAATGAACACGATGAACAGTAATTATATTTGTAAATCAATAATAATCAATTATTGTTCATGGTTAGTTTATGTTCGTTACCCAATGCATAAAGTACACAATAATGTTTGCTTTGTTGCAAAGTGTTTTCATCATATGGCTTCATAAGACTTCATGTGTAGAGTCATATGACTTTCTCTCATGATACTTTTTATGAAACATTAAGGAATTTCAATGAAAAAGTGCTGCATTAGCATTCTTCAAAATGTCTCATTGAGTGTTTCACATTAAAATACAGTAATAAGTCAAATGCAGGTATGAAAAATGACGACAAGTTTCAATCTGATCATTAATCAGTGTTGACAGAAGATATGAATCTGATTAGTAATCAATGTGTGTGTTTTGCATGAAGCATGTGGCTGCTGGATTACTCAAGCTGTTGAGCTGCAGGTGGTTTCAACTGAGGTTTATAGAGTGAAAAGACAAACACATGAAGGGCTCGTGAACACCCCAGCAAGTGTGACCAGGGACACGTGAGAACATCACAGACCGCCTTTACCACCCCCCTGCGATTGTAAAGGAGGCAATGACTCATATTAAAAAGACCAAATTGGGCAAAAAACACTCAAAGACAGAAACGCACACACACACACACACACACACACACACTTTCTCTCCAGCCAGCAAAATAAAGTGTGAACTGACAGAATTTAAAGGGTGCGATAGAGGCTATTTACACTAAGTGAAAATAGCAGTATTTTTTAGTGATATGCTATTTACACTATAGGTGCAAATAGCTATAGATAGTTAAAATAGCAGGATATTCTGCTAATTACTTATTGCAAATAGTGTCAATTATCTGCACGTCAGCATTGTAATACATTATAAAACAGT